TATTGCGACCTGACTCTCTTGTTGTGCTGCCGAAGTGCTGCCGAAATTTCCGCTGCGCGCAACAATATTGACTCTCTCCCTTCTCCTTGGTTTTTCCTCCAATAATAGAAAAATGTATATAGTGAAACCAAAACCATATCTCTAGCCTAACTTCTTAATTAGAATAAGATTATCAAACTCCTAATCATGATGAGACACAATCTCCAAATCATGATAAATCTCTAACCCTATCTAATTCTCATAAAGTTATACAAAGAAAGATACAATCCCAACATGAGGTAGGACAAAAGAGAAGAGAGGAAACCCTCGAATCTTGCATCATATCGTTTTTAAGGGTGGTTGCTTCTAGGCACACCTCCTATTCTCCTAATATTCTCTATGCACCCCCTGCGTCCTTTATTGATAATTGAGGTACTTTAGCTGGTGATCCGAGTCCGAGTGGTTTCCCTGGCACAATGAAGCTTATCTCCCATCGTCTCACTAGCCGATCTCCTCCTATCTCTCTTGAGCCTAAATTTTTTCATGCCGGCCAGCAGCTTGTTTTTCTTTCAAATATAGTTGCCTGACTTGAGCATCATAAGGACTTCGCTGATAACAATTGAATATAAATCTGATGGCAATCAAACAGCCCCACCAAGGAAAGGGTGGACGTAAAGCAAAGCAATTACCGGGCCTAATTGTCATCTCAATGGAAAGACGGCTGGATTTATCCATTTCTTTATGTGATCGTTGGTCCCATGATCAAAGATGTGCTGCGAAACTTGAATTTTTTTTTTTAAAGATTTAATAGTAGATATTGGATTAAAGAAATAAAAGTACTATAATATTCTTATTTACATTATTTGTAATATTAGGTGCAACGACGGAATATATGATTATGTTTGCATCCTAATAATTATGCCTTTTCAGCGTGTACTTATTTTTGTGCTCTTTCAAGGTTCACCAACTTTAGATTCGTTTACAGCTTAATTACTTTTTTTTTAATCTATCAGAGGGTTGCATCCTTGTTTGTTTTTGTTGTGTTCTTCTTTTTAGTTAACACCGTACCAGACAAGACAGTTTAGCTATATTAGTTTACTGTAAAAATAAATTGTAGTAAATACTACAATAAAAAAATATCGGCATGTAGTATTTGTTGTAAGAAACCAACCTCAAATTCTATTTTAGGATATCTGCAATTATATTGCAGAAAATATATTTTCAAATGCAAGTTTAATATTTAGTTGAAAACTAATTAAGCAAAATCTAAAAAAAATTTGCCATATAAAAAAACTTGGGTGTAGATGATTTCCCTATTTGGATTTAAAAAGTTTTTTTTCTGATAAGGTGGAATTATCTTTATTTATTAACTCTCTTTTTTTTTTCTTTTGAAGCATGTAGCTTTTCCTCCCATCAAATTTGCCATAGCATGTGTTACAAGGTTTTTCTAAAAAACAACAACTTTGTCTATATTTTTTAATTACTTAGTGTAGGCATAAAAAATTGCCTATAGGTCTCCACGAACGGTTCAGTGTTAAAGAGCGACGATGAACGTCACCATCCGATCCACATGAGCTTAATAGACGTCGACGAACGACTTAAGTGAATCGACGAGCTACGTGAGCGGATAGGGTTTCGGAACAACGAAGACCCGGGCCAATCGGGAAGCCCGACACTGTTCACAAAAAGGACAACGCCCTTCGTGCCTCGACCACTCTACAGATAATCCAAC